AAAAATCCTCATATACTTCAATCTAACCATTCAATTGATATCAAATTTTGCATACACATTTACAATAATTACACCAACAAACTACATGAATTCTACCCATACACATGTCACAAAACTCAAGAAACCTTTAAATTTATAAATATATTTTTATTTTTCAAAACCTAAATCCATCAAGAATATTATTAATTTTGAAAATCCATCAAAATCTCAATATTGGTTCAAATGATATAAAACCAATGCTTAAAAATCTCTCTTCAAGTCTTCTCTCAAATCTTACTCTTTAATCTTCAAAAGAACCCCAAAGTCACCATATCAGTGTAGTTTTGTACCTCGGGATCTGATTTCAACCTAAGTTGACAACGAGTCCTCTCTAGGTATCAATTTTTAATAATTTTAGGCCATTTTTACTTTAACTTATTTTTAATTCTTTCCTAAATATGCCTATATCAATTTCTTATCTCATTTATTTTGATTTGGCTCATTATTGCTTTTGCAAAGTAAATAGAAGTCTCTTCTATAAAAGGCAATATTAAGACTAAATTTTTTACTACCTTTCTATCATTTATTCTCATTTTTCTACTACATCTTTTTAATAGGTTCTTCTATAATAATATCTATATTTTATTTTTTACTATATAATTGTATTACCACATGACAACATTACATCAAATTGTTGTGAACAAATAGGAATAAGAAGTTTTTTTCTACAACATTTTTAGATTATTTGTGATTTCATGGGATTCTGCAAGGACTAATACAAGACCATACTCTATACCAAAACACTATTGTCAAAATACAAAATCAAATGATTCTAGAAAGAATCAAAACTATACTAGTGTCAAGATATCTTTCAATTCAACTTTGCTCAGAAGTTGTTAAAACAATCATTTATTTTCTCAATTGAATCCCAACTAAGATAAATGATTCATTCTTTTCTCTAGAAGAAAGATTTTCTAGCAAACAACCTTCTTTAAATCACTTCAAGAGAATCAAAGCTCTTTCACATGTGCACATTGGTACTCACATTAGGTACAAATGAGAACCTCAATCTATTACAAGCTATCTAATAGGCTATGATGATTGTTCTAAAGCCTACATAATTTACTTACCTTTGACCAACAAGATCATTGTGTCAAAAGATGTTATCTTTGATGAAACAAGGTTTTATCATACTAAACTTTCATAATCTATTATAAGCTTTAATTTCTACCTTCCAACAACTAAAATAGAAGAAAGAGATTTAGATTTCTTGTCTGTCTTCAATTCAGATGTGAAGTCTTCAATATCATCTGTTGGATCTATCTATATGTCAAGTATCACATCTTTATTCTCAATAGAAAGAGTAGTTTAGAAGCAGCTCTCGTGTCTATTGGTAGCTACAAACCAAAGCTCTTTTATTAGATTCCTACAATTGCCGCTTTTATCAAATTATGTCAATCAGTTCAGAGGTCATATGTGACAATTTTTGACAACACTACCAAATTCTTTGATATCACCTATTGAACAAGAGCTAGATCAATCTCCATTTGAAAACTTGACGACCACTTGAACCAAAGAATCTATAAACTTACAAACAAAAGACAACTATTCATCCCCACAATGTCCAAATGTTGAAACAAAATCACTTTCACAGAGAGACAATCTTGATCACTCATGGCCAATAGACATCAAAAAACTAGATCTAAAATGGACAATGCAAAAAACCACTAGATCAAGCTACACCACTCGTTTTCTTAGTTGGCTCAAGGATCACTATACAAAGGTAGAATCAATAAACATGGAATCAAACTCTTTTACCAAATCATGGAATTGTCTTCTTTGGAGAGAATCCATCAAAGAAGAATACAATTCCATTATTAAAAACAAAGTTTGGTATCTTATCAAGCTTCCTTTAGGTAAAACTACCACCTCTACACAATGGATCTTCAAAGCAAAAATCAATCATTGATGGTGATCTTCAAAAGTAAAAATCAAGGCTTGTTGTGCTCAATTTTTAACAACAAGATGGAGTGGATATAGACGAAACATTGACACCAATAGTTGCATGGAAAACCATTAGATCATTGCTTACTATAGCATCCCAAAATAGCTGAACCAAGTCACCCATGGACATCATTACTACATTCTTCTATGGTCTATACAAAGAAGAAGTCTATATTATGCAACCAGAAGGTTTTTAAATTCCAGCAAGAGAACATTTAGTTTATAGGCTTAAAAAAGCACTCTATTGATTAAGACAAGCTCCCAGGTCCTAGTACGAAGAAATTGACAAGTTGCTCAAAACCATTGGTTTTAAATCAAGCATGGGCAAACATAATCTTTATAACAAAGCCGACTATAAAAATATCACTCTTATAACACTTTTTATCAATGATCTACTGATGGTAAGCAACTTATGCTCTGAGATAACAGGTCTTAAGGTAAGATTATACTCTAAGTTTCCCATGACTAACCTCTTTGGAGGTGATATCATGATTTATTTGAAGGTAGAGTGTATTCAAGTTCACAGTGGAATTTTCCCAACTCAAAGGAGTTATGCTAAGCCAATTCTCATAACATATGATGTAGCATAGTGTAAATCAACAGCTACTCCTATGGATGAACACTACAAACTAGTAATGACTGTGGATGAATGCTACAAAATAGTAATGAATATGGAAGAAGATTGAAATCCAACAATCTATCAAGGGCTGATAGGATCGCTTCTTCATTTCACAATGGCTAGTCTAGATTTAAATATTCAATAGGAGTATGTAGCAGATTCATGCAGAAACCTCAACAACCACATCTTCTAGCAACAAAGTGGATTCTTAGGTACATCAAAGGCACCGAGGACTTTGGAGTCATCTCCACAAATCAAAGAGTAATACACTATAAGGCTACATCGACTCCGACTAGGCGGGAGATGCACAAGATGCTAGGTCAACCACAAGCTTCATTTTCAGATTAGGAAAGTCACCAATCACATGGCATTCAAAGAAGCAGCCTACCGTAGCTTTGTCATCCTCTGAAGCAGAGTACCGAGCCCTTACAAAAGCATCCAAAATAGCATCCTGGTTGCAAATGTTATTTCAGGATTTACACTTCAAAATCGAACTCTCAATTTGTATTTTTTGCAATAACATTGGCAACATTCGGATGACAGTCAATCTTGGGACAAATCCCCAAACACGTGATGTGTCTGCCCACTATCACTTCACTCAAGAAATGATCAAAGGAGAATTAGAAATCCATTATATTCCTTCTCTTGAGCAACTAGTGGATATTTTCACAAAGCCACTAGGGTGCTCCCTGTTCGAGAAGTTCAGAAACGAACTCAACATAGTAAGTAGCAAGAGTGTTGTTCCACGATCTCTGATCCTCTACTAGACATCCTTATTGATTCTTGGAGCAAAATACAGAGGATTCAGGATGCTACAAGATGCCGAGAACTTCTTCTTCAACTAAGAACACCTCATCTTTTTTTTTATTTCTAGTTCAGTTTTTTTTTTTTTTTTTTTTTTTTTTTTTTGTGATAATAGCTGCCTTGAACATAGAACACACGGGGTGAAGGAGGGTGTTGGATGAACACCCCTAGGTATATAATCCAGTTCTCATCTCAGGGAACCCACGAATGTAACTGTATTTAAACAGCTCTTTCTGCTGTTCTCCTCATCGGTAATCTAAGTCTGTATTGGCTAGGTTCTTGTTCCTTGGTTCTGTATTGAACAATGTGGATACGTGTCTGTGTTCTCAGTATTTACACAAGTGAAAATTGGATGATCATGCAAGCTTGATTTTCTTCTGGAACGAGAATATCTTTTGCCAATATATAATTACTTTGGATGTTTTATATGGAATGAGAACTAAGCAAGTTCGATAGAAGGCGAAGTGAGGAATTCAGTCCCGCTCTGATACCATGTTGAAATATTGACGTAAAACCACTTAGTGAACAGTGACTCTGTAACTTTGCTATCAGGATCGTGCACAACACTATGAGCACACATACATACATACATACATACAAGCAACGCATCAAACTACTACACAGTAGTTCTAATAACAAGAATAACAACTGTGTTTATAAGTGTACCGAAGTGCAGTACATATATTGTGGAAAGTTTGTCATTAGTTCATTTGTTGAGACTAAATGTTCTGATATGGATGAATCACCAACAAAGCCCTAAGTGGTCCTTTATGAAGACTTTCAACAGGAAATTCTGATTTGAGTCAGCCCCATGTGAACTCTAGCAAGTGGGAATTGAGTTTGGATAAAGACATGAGAAAAGTTTCATTTTCCAATCCACATGGGCTGGTTAGAATTTAGTGTTTCCTTATGCATTATTTTTGTTGTATTGTAGAGGGATAAGAGGAGGTGAATGATGTTAAGGTTTTTGTCCAAGGTTGTTGTAGGTGGACCACTAGGATTTTTGGAGCTGATTTTAAACAGTAGTTTGTTCTATAATACAAATGCTTGTGAGAGTAGGGTGAGGAGGAAATGAGATCGTAGTGACTGTACTGGTGGTGATTGCATGTGGATTGAAAAATATAAATTGTTCATTGTACAAGACAAAAAGGGCACTTAAGAATTAGAGGCCGTCGTTTAGGAGCAACATGTAAGATACAACTTAATTGGTCACACTTAGATAACGGTATTCTAGACCACATTATATGGATTCTCATAATTTAATTTTTATTTAAGCTATTTTTCTTTTACTTTTTATTAACTAAAAGACCACAGTATATGGATTCTCAATATTTAATTGTCATCTCAAGTATCAATGTATCAAATGCAAGACTATGAAGAATCTCACATATTTTTGTCCATGCTTTGAAAACACTAAATTGTTCATTCATTCAAAAAGCTTTCTCTTATAGGAAGAAAAAAAACGTGTATATATATATATATACAAATAGATTTTACTTGATTGAAAACATTCCACATTTTGATATATACCTATATGTATAGAGAGAATGATTCATCGAGAAACATCAACTGACATTTGAAAAGGGTATTAGTTCCAATTCCCTGCTTATTTAATTTTCAATTTTTTTCCTCCATTGTGTGTGTGTGTGGTGGAAATTAGGGCTTAGTGAAGTGTGTCGGCGATGGATGTGACTGTGCTTCGGGGCTTGCAGAGAGTTGTCGGGGTTGCGGGGGTTTTAGTGTCCGACAGTGGAAGGTCCTCGAGAAGAAAAAACGAAGAAGGCGTTGTCGTGACGAATCTGAACGCGAATTGGGTTTTCCGTTGCGAGCAAATGAGTGTGAAGAATTTGAACCTGGATAGATTTAGGGTTTAGAAGAGGGGAAGTAGATTCATGGCTGTCGCTGCAGCGGGAGAGTTGCTGGATCTGCTGTCGCGCGAGGTGCGAGAGCTGTCCCTGGGTTGCACGCCCGAGGTTGTCAGGATCGATGGCCCTCCCGATCCTGTGCAGTTCCTGCGCGACTTCGTCATGCCCAATCGTCCCTGCATCATCACCAACGCCATTGCACATTGGCCCGCCCTTCGCCTCTGGTCCAACTCCTACTTGCAATCCCAACTTGCCCACCGTAGCGTCTCTTGCCATTTCACCCCCGACGGGCGAGCCGATGCCCTTGTGCAGGCTCCTCAGTCTGCAGACGTGGGGTCAAAGTCTAGCCACAGCGATGGAGGTGATTTGGAAGGAGAAGGACCTGCCAATGAAATAGTCTTCGCAAGTTCACTTGTGGAGGTACTGCCCTTCCCCACGGCGCTGGAGTGTGTTCTGAGTTCGAGTTGTGAAGACCGTAGTGTGGCATATCTACAGCAGCAGAACAATTGCTTCCCGTTGGAGTTTTCTGCGCTTTCTGAAGATGTAGACAGCGATATCGCATGGGCAAGCGAGGCTTTGGGCTGCAAGCCCGAGGCGGTGAATTTGTGGATTGGTACTCAAGAGTCGGTGACATCATTCCATAAGGACCACTATGAGAATCTTTATGCTGTAGTCTCTGGGGAGAAGCATTTCACCTTACTTCCCCCAACAGATGTGCATCGGATGTATGTGAAGAAGTACCCCGCTGCTCATTATGAACGAACGGTCAGTTTTCTTGCTCTCTCTCTCTCTCTCTCTCTCTCTCTCTCTCTTTCTCTCTCTCCCTCTTTCTGGTCCCGAATTGCAAGGTAGTTTTGCATTTTCATGCGCAAGCTGTGCTCAATTTATTGTAATCAATTTGCTTGAGTGTACAGCGTCTCTTTTCTGGTTGCTTCCTCAGTTTGATAATTCAATTAAATTGCCCCCGGTTCTCAAACACAAGGGCTTATGGATGCTTGAATAAACATTGTGAATTGGTATCAGCATTTGGACCTTTTATGCTACTTCGATAAGAGAACGTCATTCCAGTCTGCATTTGTTTTACTGCATTTTTAGGTTGATGTGCTCGTAACCTGTAGTTGATGGTTACAAGATGAACTTCACATTGCAATTCTTTTGTATAAGGCAATTTTTATTGCTTCTGAAACTTACATCTACTATCCCTTAGCTGCTTTTGTGAACTTCACTCCCATAATTTGATAAACCAATCCTTTAGCGTTCTACGATTACAGTACTCGCATCTATTTGTCGTGAAAGAAGATTCCCCTTGGCTACATGGAATGATGAGTTTCTGTCTGCAGCTTCTTTATTTCTGCAGGACAGTGGGAGCTTGGTGCTTAAACGCGATAGTCCAACCGCCTGGGTGCCGTGGTCCAGTGTAGATCCCTTTCCAAAGAATGCTGAGCGACAAACAGCCGAGTCCCAGCATCCGCGTTATTTCGGAGGCCCACTGGCATTTGAGTGTACAGTCAGAGCAGGAGAACTACTTTATCTGTAAGTAGAAGTCTACAACCTGTGCCTCACCATGTATCCCACAGTCCTCAAACCCCAAACTCTATACAACGTCTCTTAATCTCAATGTGCTCTAGCTCAATCTTGCTTCACAACTTGTTGGTTTCTTGTTTTAAGTTCCAATCGTATTTCCTGGCATTGATTTATCAATGTGCCTGTAGGCCGAGTTTGTGGTTTCATCATGTACGCCAGTCACCGGATTCAGAGGGGCGCACCGTCGCCATTAATTATTGTAAGTTCGGTGCTCTCTGCCAAAGATTTTATCATATAAATGATTTATTAAAAGTGTCAAGCTTTGCTGTCGCTTGAAAGGTTGATGTTGCCACTGCATGTGTCTAATGGTTATTGATTGTTCTTAATCTGCATTGATGGCCCAAATCATGGATGTGTAGGGTATGACATGCAATTTGATATGAAGTATGCGTATTTCAACTTCGTGGAATGTTTGGCTGCATCGTCATCGACATTGGAGACTATTTCTATACGTTCGAGCTCGTGACTTACTCGGGTTGGGCTGACTACAAGGCGAGGAAACAGTTTGGGCTTACTAGCATTGATCTTAGTCATGACTCCAACCACTAAGGATTAAAGGAGAAAACTTTATTAGAGTAATGCACATGATTTCCCATATTACCAAAGAGTGATCGACATGCTGGTCGCCTGCCAATTTGATTGGGTCACATGACCTCCACATGGAGTTTGTAATGTATGTGGACCCACATCAGCGTTTCTTACTCTTTATAGTAAATACAATGGAAGAGCTCTTCATCAGAATTGAACACTATCTGGTACGGAGTGAATGTATCATCAGACCAATGTTGCAAATCTCTTGGTACCGTGAAACACTGGTGCATGAATTCGAAGCGTTTCAAGTTGATTCTCGAGGAATTCCTGGTTATTCTTTATACGAGTCTTCCTCCAGTTGCAATGTTTGACAGATGCTGCAAGAGCTTTATGGATGCAGTCATTCATAAGACTACTCGTGAAATTGTCCTTTATTTACAACCAGTTAGGATGGAAATCCAATCCCCAGTAAAACTCTTTTTCATTGCCTATTTCATCAGTAGTTATACACCATTATCAGCATTGGAAGAAAGATCCCATGGGCTACAAACAAAAGTGAGCGATTTGTCGTAACTACAAAAACTCTTAGGAAATTGTTTTATATTTGTAAAATCAACTAAACTTAGCAGCCAAGAAGATTGTGTCCTTAATTTCGGGAGACAAAATTTAGGAGACCCTTTCATCTCTAAGAAATAGATTTTGTAATTTGATCTTATTGCAAAATAAAAAAGTTTAATTCTTTTTTATCCAAAACCTACATTGTTGCACAGGCTTTTTAAGAATGTCTTTAAAGAATTTAATATTTAATATTAGATAGTCATTAATTAAAATAATTATTGATTAAAATATTTACTCATGAAAAGAAAATACAACTAATTTTGAAGACATAGACTTGTGATGTTACATAGATATAGACATCAAGAATATTTTAAAATATTTTGTTATAATGATCCACTAACCAACGCATAATATTGTATATTAATTTATTTTAATTTTTTACTTATTAGAAAGCAGTTCAATAAAAAAAATTGCACATTATGCTAATAATGGTTATATTTTTTTTGATAGAAAAATATCATAAAATTTCTAAAATATTGTTAATAAGGAAATATTACAATGGCTATTGTTAAGTATTAGTCATTTAGAGAGCATTGAATTAAAATTGAAACACAAAAAAATGTTGATAAGACTAATCATAGATTTATATTTACTTTTCTATATACTAACTTAAAAGACAACTATGTCGAAGTTTTTAAAGAACTATAAGGCTTGCTATGTGTTGAGAATGTTTAGAAAGACACAAGAGTAATAGTAAGTAATACACACACAAGAGTAGTAGTAAGTGATACACACAAGAGGGTTTCTAAGGAGAGAGAGCTTCACACATAATAATTCTGTTGATCTGGTTGTGTCTCGTATACAAGAAGAGAAAAGGTGAGAGGATAAACAATACTTCTCCACTAGACTCTAAATACTGTAGCTATGGTATTTACTGTAGTCTACAGTAAATATTATGGAGAGCGCCGACTACATTTAATGATTTCGACACTCCTCCTTGCTCATTATAATATTTACATAATATAAAATTTATATAGAATTATGATCTATACTTTTCTGTTATCTTGTATGATCAACAATTGTTGCTTCATTAAAACCTTATCTAGGAAAATCTTATTGTATTTAAGGACAAAACCATAGATTAAAGAAAAAGAGTACAACATCATTTTTTTTAATTATTTAAAAGACTCATTAACTTTCTTTTTTCAGAAAAGCAAGTCACTGCATACCAATGCCATAAGTAAGTCGACGATGGTTGCACAATAGGAGAGCTTTGGTGAAGAGATCAGCAAGGTTATTTGTAGATTCAATTTTCTTAATTATAAGTACTTGATCAGTAATCAAGTCATAGATATAACTAAAATATTTTGGATGAATATGCTTTGTCCTGTCGCCTTTAATGAAACCAACTTACATTTGTGCAATACAAGCACTATTATCTTCATGCAAGATAGTTGGAGAATCATCATATGAAAATCCACAGGTTGTTTGAATGAATTTATCAATTGTTTGCAACCAAATACATTCTCGAGATGCTTCATGTAAGGCAATAATTTCTGCATGGTTGGATGAAGTTGCAGTTATTCTTTGTTTCACTGATTTCCATGATATTGCAGCTCCATGTCTTAAAAATACATATCCTATTTGAGATTTAGCTGTTACAGTAACACATTTATATCCTGCATCACAATATTCAACCAATTTTGGATCTACGGACACTGTGTAGTATAATCTCAAGTCTTCAGTACCTTTTAAATAATGTAATAAATATTTGATGCCATTTCAATGTCGTAGTATTGAACGTGTACTATGTCTTGCAAGAACACTAACTACAAATGTAATATCTGGTGTTGTAGATATACCTAAATACAAAAGTGCTCCGACCACTGCGAGGTATGGATATTGATCTCTTAATATTTCCTCCTCCTCCTTGCATGGACGGTATAGATCATGACCATCACGATCACGTCCAACCATTGGTGTGGACAATGAATAAGCATCAATCATATTGAATCTTCCCAAGATTTGTCTAATATACATTAGTTGGTAGAGAAAAATGCTACCATCTGTTAGATGCATAATTTGAAGACCAATGTAGAAAGTTATTTTTCCTAGCATTTTCATCTCAAATTTATGTATAAGTAGGTTAGTAGTTGTAACACATGTAGATGTAGTACCCACTAGGTTAAAATCATCAACATATACAGCAATGATCACAAAACCAGTTTTATCTTGTTTGATAAACAAACAAGGGATTAATGGATCACTTATAATTTTATTTGTAATTAAATAATCTTAAAGACGTTGGTACCACATACATCCCGATTGTTTTAAACCATAGAAGGCCTTACATAATTTAATACTACAATATTATACTAGAGCGGGTCGATTTGGAGTTCATGTTTCTAAGCCAGATAGAACTTTCATATAAATATTTGTATCAAGAGAACCATATAGATATGCAGTTACTACATCCATCAGATGCATCTCAAGGGTGGCATAAACTGTCATTCCAATAATATATCATAATGTAATTGTATCCATGATTGGAGAATATGTAGATTCATAATCAATGCCAAATTGTTGAGTAAATCCTTGAGCAATAAGATGAGCTTTATAGTGGATTATTTGGCCTTAAGCATCTCGCTTGCATATTAATACCATCTTATATCCCACAGAGCAAGATGTAAGAGTGCCTACAATTGGACCAAAGACTTTCCTCTGACGCAAAGAGGCATACTCTTCCTCAATAGCAGTTTTCTATTTTGACCAATCAGAGCAACAAATTGCTTCCTTGATGGTTTGAGGTTCAAGATTATCTTCCTCACAAGAAAGGGCTTTTATAATCATATATGCAAATGATTCATGTACCATAATAGATGATCTGTCCCAAATATCATCTATAGCACAATACAAAATAGATAATTCTTTACTCAACTTGTTCTTATTCCTTCCAATTCCAAGATTGTTTTTCATAAGAATTGAAGGTACATTATGTATGGATATATCATCATGAATTGGTAGTCCCACAAGATGAGTGATAATTTCTTGAGAAATAATACCAGGATTAGTCAATTTTATAGCTTTTTTCTTACATGGTTGCTTATCTAGTCTACGAATTCTTTTAGTTGTTGTTGTTATAACATGAGGTATTGTAGTCAATGGCACTGCAATCTGAGTAGGTGCATTATGAGCCTCACTAATAGGAACTCTTATAATTCTAGGTGCATCATTGAAGCCATGAGGTGTTTCATGTGCGATCCGTTTTAGATGCAAAATCTTAACAACTTCAATTTCTATCAAAGATGTCCTAGGATCGGGATTCATTGTAAATGTTTCTGGTGCTTCAAATATGAGTACTTTATTTCTTTGTTGATTGGATACTCCTCCTTGAAGAGATGGGAATACATTTTCTTCAAAACGGCAATTTTATAAACATGCACATAATAATGTGTCAGTTGATGGATCAACAATACGAATAATGCTTGGTGAATCAAAACCAACATATATACCTTCTTGTCAATGAGCTCCAATGGTACGTCATTGAGGTTCTAGTACTGGAATCCAAGCATGGCAATCAAATACTCGTAAGTGAGATACATTTCGAACACGATCCGAAATGAGCTCATATGGTGAAACAATTTCAAGAGAAGAAGGGCAGAGGCGTTGTCATATAACATGCTATCTTGCTTGAGAATGCACCGGGCGTTTGCTTGTGGAAGATAAAATAATGTTTTGTAAGTATCCATGTAGGCTAGTGGGTTTCAACCATCTAAATACAACTATTTTGGATTTCAATGTAAAAGCTTAATCTCAATACAAAATACTTAGAAATACTATTTTTAATAACTTCAAGATATTATAAGTACAAGTCTTTTGTTATTTATTAGTTTTATTTTATTTATTTTATTTTATTTTAATTCATTTTATTTATTTTATTTTTATTTTTATTTTTATGTTTTTAAATCCTAACCCTAGAGAGCGAGCTTCAGTAAGCTGTAATTCTCAATCTAATCGTCCAATTGTTGTAAACTTCTACTACTAGTGTCTTTGCAAGCCATCTAAATATTTAAGAAGTTTCAATCCAATCTAACTTACAGATTGTAAGAAAATGTCGTAAATCCACACTGATGTATCTTAACCACCCCCTAGAAGTCCTAGACTTACCATGCCAAAAGTCACCTTATTCCAATGGATAGATCTCTCGATATTACAGAAACCCTAAACAATCCCAATCTGCTAACTTTTGATACCTCTTTATGCTAATGGTCAAATAACCTCTATCTGTTCTATCAGATTAACACAAACTTTTGCATGCACTCGGCATACTCAATCCTCTAGACACCTCTAAATTTCAACTATAGAAGTTTCTCCAATTTCACAAAACAGTCAAGAATACTAGCCGTTATTTTATTGCAAAAAAAACCAATTCACCAATACAAACAATGACTTTCAGCAACGATTGCCAAAGTCCTCCCAAATCCTATGAACCCAATTCTACACCTTTCAAAGGAGCTTGAAGCTAGCTCTTCGACCCCAAAATCTTGATCTCCGAATGCTCCTTTTCTTATCCTCTCCTCTTTTTTAACTCCGTGTGGTCCCCTTTTCTTCCACTATGGACTCTGATTTGGAACAGCCGACAACGCTTCCTCGGAATTCCTA